CGTTCATGCTCTGTCTCTCTCTGTCCCAGAAATAAATAAACGTTCAAAAAAAGAAAATTAAAAAAAAAAAACTTAAAAATTTAAAAAAATTTTAAAAAATCAATTTCTCACAGTTATAATCTCCAGGACTATCTAGAAGACCTAGCAGATGATTGGTTGGTTGAAATAATAAATTTGCATGAATGACTAAAGAGTGAATGAATTTGAATCAGTGAATAGTTCTGATATCAGCCTGTGAGGAGAGGGTAAAATACGGGTTACTAGAAAAGAAGGAGATGAGTATTTGAGAAAGGGAGAGCCTCGTATAAGCTAAGGCCATTTATCAAAAGAAACATGAAACTGGTACATGGATTAATTATTAATTAGTGCTCAGTAATTTAGGGGGCTATTTGGGGGCACAGGTATCCAAATATAGACAGAATCTGACTTGGGTCTTTTCTCTGAGCCTCAGAGGATTATTTACTGTACATCTATTCTTTGGAATATGAAGAGACTGAAGCGGGGCTTAGGACCCAGAAGACCTCCCTCTTCCACTTCCCCCCAAAATGTTGGCCTGTGTTACAGGCTTCAACCACTTCTTTTCAAGACCTAGACACAAATCTGGTTCAATAAAAACAATTAGCAGAAGAGAGAACATTCAAGAGTTGTAATTACCTAAATGTCCCACCATTAACCATTTGAATGACTAAATCCTCTACATTGATTGTTTTAATGAATGATAATTAAAACCAAATAACCTCTAGGCTCATTTGATGCTACAGTGACAAAACTGAACCTCTAGGCATTATATTGCAAGGCCCTGAATTGAGCCAGGGGAAGCCAGATAGATAAAGTACAAGGAGAATGAGATGGTGAGTGGAAAGGTACTGGTGCACACTGGACTAGAAAGAAGATGATGGGGGTGTCTGGGTGACTCAGTCAGTTAAGCGTCTGACTTTGGCTCAGGTCATGATCTCACGGTTTGTGAGTTCGAGCCCCGTGTCGGGCTCTGTGCTGACAGCTCACAGCCTGGAGCCTGCTTCGGATTCTGTCTCCCTCTCTCTATCCCTCCCCGACCAATGCTCTGTCTCTCTGTCTCTAAACAATAAATACATGTAAAAAACAAAAAAAAAAATTTTTTTAATTAAAAAAAAAAAAAAAGAAAGAAGGTGATGGCTGCCCTAGCAAACACATTTCAGTTAGTTATCCATTGATGGGAGAGCCCTCAATACCACTCCCTAGTTAGGAAAATTCTTCCAGGAAAACACTTTCAGTCAGAAAAATGCCTTTGTAACAAATAGTGGTGGGGTTAGAGCAATCGCTTCCTGCTATTGCCTACCACCAGCCGCCACGCAGCTCAGCCCCTGGCTTCTGCCCTCTGAAGCAATGGCTTCCCTCATTGTCAAATCACTTTACCCAGTTCCAGAAGGCCTGCTAGGAAGATTATGTGTTGTCAGCAAAGACACATGAGAGAGGATTTTTAACTTTTTAAATCTAAAGTAAGAATTTTGCAAGGCAGAATTTCCAACCCAAACAATATTATAATGGAAAGAGATTAAACAGATTTTGCGGAGACCACCTTCAGGCAAACAAGCTTGAGCAATGGAATGTGGAAAAGGCCACAGTGACCACCTGGTTGATACAGACAGGCCCATCAGGTGACCCACCTCAAAATGTCCTTAGGCCCTAACTGACCAATGGGCTCCTTATGACTAGGCACAGTTACCAAAAAAGGTAAGATTCTATACGTTGCCAAACCTCCTCTTTTTCCCCCTTTAAAAGCAGCCCCCACCCACTGTGTCTTTGCAGACAGCCACTCTTCTGCTCTCGTACCCACCACTCCCTTGTGGTGTATTCAATACATTTTTGTCTCCTTTGTTCTGCCTCAGGTGAATTCTTTCATCTCCCACACCATTGGCTTCCACCTGATCTGATTGTTGCCCCACATTTGGTGGCTCCCCTCCTATGAAGAGATACCCCATTTAGACACCACAGATTTGGTTTGCCATATTCATAATACAGAGGAAGCCATCATCTTGAATAAGTTAAAGGAAGAAACTGTCATACTCATCATTATACCCTGGTGCAGCACGGGTTCACAAAAATAATTGTTTGAACCGAACTCAACACAAAGTAATTTAAACTAAAACCCAGGACAGACCTAACAATATGAATGTACAAATCATGCACTAGTGGATCTTTCCAAAGCACTATATTTGTTGAAATTTTGAAATACATACAATGGCAGGTGAGCAGTCTCCATGATTGGTTGCTCTGTGGCACGTGTAAAGACTGTTCTAAGCTTTTCTTCTGCAGGAAAAGCATTTCTAAGTTGAAGTCAGAGCCAGAAAGTTTGGGCAGTTCAGCACTTTTTATAACCAATCAGTGAATCAACATTTATAAAGCACTTATTGCGTGCAACGTACTGTTCTAAGGCGCTGGGATTATAATGGAGAGTCACTGGGGTTGAAAAGGGACTTTAGTCACCTCCATTTTGACCTTGGTCTGTACTTCCTAACTGATTTAAATTCTCCTTTGTTTATCTCTTAGACAAAAAAACCCAGGAGGCAAAGCATCCTCTGACAGGAACATAATTACCCTTCAAGCAATAACAACTGCCCTGAGCCAGCAAGACCCTGCTTGATTGACCCCAAGATAATGACCTTTACTGCCCATCTGCATGTACCCACTGACCTTTGTCTCATGTTTTCCTTATATAAAGGTAAAAGTATTTTCCGCACTGTGAAGACAGTCTTTGAGAGGCTTAGTCCCCTGTCTTCTGACTGGTGACGTCACTGAAATAAATTTCCTGTCTTATTTCACTACTGCTCCTCTTCCTGCCTTGGGATTTGTCAGTGGCCGGTGGTGGCTCCTGGTCCGCTTGGGACCCCCAGAGCCTGGTGCTCTTGCACCCCTGTGCCCCAGTTACAGGATCCCCTAAAAGTACAGGAAGGCTCTTCCCCAATGAAATACAAATTACCCCCAAATCTTCTATTTGCTTGAAATTTTTATTAAGACCCTCATAATCAAATAAAACTTGATACCAAGTACATGGGTTGATTATTAATTAGCGCTGACTGATTTAGTGGGCTACTTGAGGGCATAAGTATCCAAATGTAGACAGAAAGCAACTATTTTAAAATAGTGTGGGGCACCTGGGTGGCTCACTTGGTTGAGCAGCAACTTCGGCTCAGGTCATGATCTCACAGTTCATGAGTTCGAGCCCCACATGAGGGGCTCGGTGCTGACAGTTCGGAGCCTGGAGCCGGCTTCAGATTCTGTGTCTCCCTCTCTCTCTGCCCCTCCCCTGCTCTCTCTCTGCACAAGTAAACACTGAGGTTTCAAGAACTCTTCCGGATCTGTCTCTCTTGCTTCAACAGCGCTTTGATTGAACAGACTCCAGGACGCCTATCTTCACCGGGCCTCCACCACTTCTTTCGTCCTTTTTTTTCCAGTCGCGAATTTTCGAGCTACTTTGCCACCCTCTGCCTCCGGGACCAGCCAACACGCGATTTTGAATTTAGCTCCTCATTACCAATCAACCCCGAGCGCCCAAATTAGTCAGAAGTACTCCACAGAGGTGGAAGCCACCGTCAACATGCACCTGCGGGCCTCCTACACCTACCTCTCACGGGGCTTCTATCTGACCGACGACGCGGGTCCTGAGTGTATGGGCTTCTCCGTGGCTGAGAAGAAGTGGAGGGCCAGCCAGCCTCAGCAAAACCAGTGCGGAGGCCATGGCCTCTTCCGGGAAGTGTAGACGCCGTCCCACGATGAGTGGGGTAAATCCTTGGACGCCAGGGAAGCCGCCCTGCTTCTGGAGAAGAACTTGAAGCAGGCCCTTCTGGATCTGCATGCCCTGGGCTCTGCCCGCTCATGAAACCCCATCTCAGACTTCCTGGAGGATCATTGCCTAGATGAGGAAGTGAAACCTGGCCAAGGAAGATGGGCTGCACCACCCAACTAACGCAGGTCGGCCCCGTCCCCAGGCTGGGCGAAGTCTCCAAAGGCTCACTCAAGCACGCATAGAAGTCTTGAGCCCAGCAGCCTTGAGAGGGTCCCTCTGACATCCACCAGGTGCCAGGGCTTGTGCCTGAGTCTCTCCTTGCAGCCACTAGGCAGCCTTTTAACCACGTGGAGCCCTTTCCCAAGCGGTGGACCAAATGAAAACAATAAAGCTTTCTGCAGCAAAAAAAAAAAAAAAAAAAAAAAAAAAAAGAAAGAAAGAAAGAAAAGAAAAAAGAAAAGAAAAAAAAGTAAACATTTAAAAATTTTAAAAATAAAATAAAATAGTGCAGTTTTCATAGCCTGGGTGTGTGTAATAGGACCCATGCACAATGGCATCTATGATGTGCCAAATAAATGAGTTCACAAAATGCACACTATAAATTAAACAATCATAGAAAACACAGTGCCAACTTCTCCCCTAGTAATCTTAAATTCAGATGCCTATGTTTGTCATTTTTTAAAATATTTATTTATTTTTGAGACAGAGAGTGGCAGAGCATGAGCGGGGGAGGGTCAGAGAGAGGGAGACAAAGAATCCAAAGCAGGCTGCAGGCTCTGAGCTGTCAGCGCAGAGCCCAACACGGGCCGAACTCACAGACTGTGAGATCATGACCCAAGCTGAAGTCGGATGCCCAACCGACTGAGCCACCTAGGAGCCCCTGTGTTTGTTATTATAGCAAACACTTTGTCTCTTTTAATTGTTTCCTTTTTTTTTTACCATGTACATGTATTCTCTATTACCATTCCTCCATCCACCTCGCTCCCACCAAATCTGTACCCATAATGGTACTTTTTTCTTTCAGGGAACTATCCAAGTTTGCAAAAGTTGACAAGAGGCATATCTCTTCAGCAAGAATAGGTCAGAAAAAAAAATTACTGTATTGAATTAATTTCAGATGATGTAAAGACCAAAATGGGAAAAGCAAAAGTCTTAAATGATTAGAAACCCATTTGGGAGACTCTGACATCCAGACATAAACATGATCCAAAACACAAAACATACAGAAAAATATTCATAAATTCAACTACATTAACACATAAAGCTTCTAAATAACAACAGTGACCATTTTAAAAAGTTAAGAAAAAGTTACAGACTGAGAGATGATATTTAGGAATGTAGATTAGCACAATTACTTTCAAGGCAATTTGTCTACATTTCATAAAGTTGGAAATACACATATCCTATACCCCAGCAATCCTACTGTAAAATGTATAGCTGGAACAGTAATTCTCAAACTTTAGCTTGTGTCAGAACCACTGGGGAGCTTGTGAAAATACAGTTTGTGGAGTCCCACCACCAGTTTCTGATTGAGTAAACCTGGGTGAAGGCCCTAGAATTTGCATTTCTAACAAGTTCCAGATGATATTAATGCTCTTGCTGCTGATTCAGGCACTACATTTTGCAGATCACTGCCCCCAAAGAAATCTCATACCTGCACTTAAGGGGACACATGCAAAAAAATTTTCACCACAGGATTGTCCACAGTTGTGACAAACTAGAAACCAACAATAAGGAAATGGATGGATAAATGTATATTCAAGCAGGGCAGTTAAATGAATGAACAACACGTATCGATATGAATAATTCTCAAATCCTAATGGTGAGGGGAAAAAACAAGCTGTAAAAGAATATATTCAAGATACCAATAAGGTAAATCTTATACAACAGTCTACTGTTTATGTGTACATTCACATGTACCAAAAGTACAAAAGCAGGGATAGCAAAGATACATGTTAGTGAGGGGTTAAGGGAATTAAGATTGGGAAGGGGTTCAAAAGGAGCCTCACTGTATCTGTGATCTCTTGTTTCTTTAAAACTGACCTGGAGCCCACTCCTTTCCAATTCCCTCCTCCCTACCCCAGCAGAGGGCACTGAGAAAGTGAGATCAGCCACCGTGTCTGGAGGAGAACTGCAAAGCATGTTTCAATGGGAGCATCCCTCTCTGCACAGCAAAATGATACAGGATTGAGAATGATCTATTTCACTACTTTTCATTTCTTTTTTCCTGGCTTTCTCTTTTTTAATATTTTTTAATGTTTATTCTTTTTTTTTTTTTTT